CGGGCCCGGCCGGGGTTCCGGGTCTGCGACTGTCCAACTTCCCCCCCGGGGCGGGGGACGGCGGGGCTCCCCGCTGCCACCTCGAAGTGGTAAGGACGAGGGGGGCTCGCAGACGAGGGCCCGCGTGGCCAAGGTCACCCGGGGAGGGACCGGAGCTCGGCGGCCGGCTGTTCTCATGTCGCCGGAGCCTCCTCCCCGCTCAGCCCCGACCTGGCCGCGCGTCGCCTCCTCGCCTCCCGCCGTGGGGTGGGTTTGAAATAAAGAAGGGAAGCTGGAGGCCGGCGGGCAGAGGGCTTGCTTCCGAGGTCTCTGTGCTCGATCGGCGCAGAGGCTTGTTATGCCGGACTTTTCCCCTCTAATCGGAGCCTCGCCCAGTGCTGAATGCGCCGGAGACCCTGAGAGAAGCCATCCCGTGGGGGCTGGAGAGTCTCAGTCCGCGCTAGTCCAGGGGCTCAGTCTCGTTGTCTTTGCAGGGACCAGCCTCCTGCTGCGTCAGCGTAGTTTTACGGTTAAAGTCTTCAGTGAAGAAAGTGGCAGAACAGTCTGGGTCGCGTTTCTTCTGGTCTGTGTAAACGTCTCAGAACTGTGCATTTTTTAAAAAGTGCTTGGTTCGGTGAGTGAATGAGTGTTTGCTGGTAGATGTTGGGCCTTGCTGGGCTCGCATCCGGCTCCAGCTGCAAGTTACACTTGTGGACCTAAGATGCTCTCTGGTCTGTGTAAACGTCTCAGAACTGTGCATTTTTTTAAAAGTGCTTGGTTCGGTGAGTGAATGAGTGTTTGCTGGTAGATGGTGGGCCTTGCTGGGCTCGCATCCGGCTCCAGCTGCAAGTTACACTTGTGGACCTAAGATGCTTTTTGTGGGTTCTCCCCGAAACAAAACCAAGTAACACCTTCCTCTAGAGAAGCAGGATGAAAGCACAGAGCTCCCAGCCTCATTCATTTTTATGAATCAGGGCCAGGTACTTTAAGACTTTGCATGCTCTGTGTGTTAGGTACGTGAAAAGTGGCAGCGGTTCTGAGTGACGCCAGATCTGGGGAGCACGTGCATGGCTGGGGTGGGACTGGATCTGGCGGGCAAGCCTGCAGGTCTCCCACATCCCGGGAGGGTAGCCTTCTACTGCCGAGAGGTGGGGGGGCAAGGCGCTGGGTCTTGTTTCCTTCTCACCCGGGAGAGAGATCTCGGGTTATGGGAGGGAAGACAGTTCAGCCCCTTAATTATGCCGTGAGACAGGGCCACGGCGAAGTGTTTTAAAGGCACTGATAAGCTTGGGCCCATTTCACCCCTACACCTTATCCCAGGTCTCCGGGTGAGGAAATGTGGGCAAAGGTGAGGTGTGCGCAGCTCCTCCCCTTCCCACACGCACAAGTTTGGGAAGCGGTAGAGCCAGGATCCCGGCCAGGTCTGGAGGAGTCCACAGCACGGCACAGACTCCCAGGCAGCTTGGGGAACAGCAAGGAACGAGTACAGAATGAGGCTTAGAATTCAGGGACCTGCTCTGGCTATGTTCTCCCTTCTTACCTGCCAAATCTACCCAGATCACCTGAGTTTTAAAGTTGTAAGTCACAGGTAACTCCAGACATTTTTTACTGCTTTGTAAATAAAAATCCGTTGCCAAGAAATATTGACAAGTTTACTTTTTTTTTTTAACTAGCTTCATCTTATGTAGGAAATGTGTTTGCGTTTTGTGTAGGAAGCCCGAGATGCACGTTCTGAACTGCCCACTCACTGTAGTTGTCCTAAACGTTAGTGAAGTGGGGACTCTATGAAGCTCCCTAGCAAGAGGTCCTCTTGCAATGTCCTGTGAGGAGACCACAGTTGCCAGCTTTGTGGTGGTTAGTGTGTGGGAGCGTGTGTCATGCTCAGATCGACGGAGGTATTCATTTTGAGGTGGATGGCAGACACTGGGATGTGATGGGTCTGATGTGTGACACTTGCAGGCAGCCCACCCTGCGGAACCCCCCACCCTCTACCCCAAGGCTTGGCAGGCTGGAGAGGTTGCTCCTTCTTCTCCCTGCCATGGAAACTTCTGGCAAAAGAGTCAATGTCTGTCCTCTCCCTGATAAGAAGGAGGAAGATACACAGACCTCTCTCGCTGATCAGTTCACGCAGTGCAGGGGCTGCGGCCTGGAGCATGCATTATGGTGTGGGTGCAAGGGTGGGGCCACAGGACCTCCATGTCTGTTCTGGCTGGCTGAGTTCAGCAGGACCTGTACCTAGGAAGGTGGGTGAGGAAGCTCTGCTTCGGAGTCTGAGTCTTCAAAGAGAGTTTCACAAGCCTCAGCTGCACCTGATCTGGGTTAGAAATCAGCATTAATCCTGACAGAAGGGCGAGAGTTTGGGAGTCATACTGCTCTTATTTTATGTTTTCCACATCCTGATTCTCACAGGCAGTCTACGAAGGGGGAGGGCTGGATCTTCAGCGCAGGAAGGACGATGTGAGCGGGGGGAGTTACAGTGGGACCCTGGTGGGATTCATGGGCAGCGCCTACTGAGTAGATGTGATGAGCAGGTGTCCTGGCTTTGGAGTGAGACCTATTCTTATCCTCTACTGTGAAAGATGGGGGACAGGCACTTGGCCACTGGGAAGAATTAGAGGGAAGGGCGCTGAGTTGTGGTTGGTGCTCCTAAGTGTGGGGTCGTAGGGCTTGTACCTGTTTTATGGGCAGACAGAGGCGCTGAGAGGTGACCTCGAGTGCTTGTGCCATGTTGTTCCCCTGCCTCTAAGGCTGCAGGCTGTGTCATGGAATTGGAGACAGAGGACTGTGGGAGACTATCTGGTGCAATCGGGTCTGTCTGCGCCACCCGGCTAGTGCTAAGACAGAGACACCTGGACATCTCTGAGGAAAGAGCCCGCAGAAGAAGGAAGAGAAATCCCTGGTTAGCTTACAGAAGATGTAGGAATGTGGCCTGAGTCTTTGGCTGCTCAGGGCCAGAAGGGCTGAAAGTGTGTCCCCTCTGTTGGTCTGATGGCATGGAGTGGGGAGACAGACGGCTGTGGGCTGCATGTTAAGGAGTGTTCCATGGAGTGGGTCGAAGACACAGGGTTCAGGTCCCTCATGGCCACAGTCCCTTGTGGAAGGGTTTATTAGAAGGGCTGTGTAAGCAGACACCCCTGAGTTGAGCCCCTGCTGGGACTGGAAAGTGGCTGCTGCTCATAGAGTGTGCACTGGAGCGGTAGGAACTGCTGCTGGTTAGATCAGAAAAGGTCGCCATTTGGGAAGAAGGCTGTTTCTTGCAATGTAAGGAATGGTGGGAAACCAAACGGGGGTGTGGTAGGGGGAGCAATCGCCATTTGGGAAAGAGGCTGTTTCTTGCAATGTAAGGAATGGTGGGAAACCAAACGGGGGTGTGGTAGGGGGAGCAGAGGTGGTCCTTTCTGGGGCTCCTGTGTTGCATTTGAGTTGTTCTGAGGACAGTCTTTCCACTGCAGCACCATCAACATTTGGCCTGGTTCATCCTCTGTGGTGGGGTGTCCTGGGCAATCAGGTGTTGAGCAGCATCCCTGGCCTCCACCCACTCCATGCCAGGAGCACCCTCCCTCAAGACATGGCTCAGTGAGAGCCACTGTCTGGGAATGTCTTTGCTCTTTTTAGCCTGGCTCCCAGTGTGTTCCTGTTGTTTGCCCCTTGTGGTTTTAGGACTTGTTTCCTGTGTCAAAGGCTAGTTTGATTCCTGTAAAACTGGCCATGAAGTTGGAATGCACTCCTAACTTACTGCCCTTTGATTTTGATGGATTGAAGCAGGCTGTGTGTTTAGAAAGGCGGCATCAGGACCCATGGCACTTGCCCTCCCTGCCTCGCAGAAGCTCCCCAAGAGTAACCGAGTGCTGACACCCACTTCCTGGGAGCGCCTGCCACATGCTGGGCTCCAAGCTGGTGCTAACCATCTTGACTCTGCCCCTTCTCTGTGCCAGAGACGCCGAGGTTCAGAGGGTCAGGGGACTTGTCCAGGTCACTGCAGGGAGGGGAAAGGCAGATGTGGGCATCCCACACTCCTTCACTGTCTGCGTGGCACAGAGAGAGAGGTCTCTTCAGTCAGGCCCAGCTGTGTTCATTACACACACTGTTAATTAGAGGTTGTTTGTGTTGTCTTCTGTTGACTGAGGCCTTTTCTCTCATTCAAGCCTGGTTCCTGTGACAACACTATTTCTGTGCAGGGTATCATGGACTGGTTGTACCACATTACGTTAAGGGACTAGAATCACCTTAAGAGTTGTGAGCAGTGCCTTAGGCAGAAGGTCACTTATTTGACAGACAAACGCTTATGGGGATATTGTCAGGGAGGGGTGATCTGGAGGGTCTCTGAGAGGATGTGGGTGTCAGTAGTTAGTACCAGGAACTGGGGCATTCAGGGGGCTTCTTGTGTCACGCAATCCCCGCAGGTGTGGGGAGGGGTGATCTTACACTCTTGTCAAGAGAGACCCTCGGGCCGGCCCGGTGGCGCACTGGAGAGTGCGCCGCTTGGGAGCGCGGCGGCGCCGGGTTCGGATCCCATGTGGAGACTGGTTCCCGCTCACTGGGTGAGCGCGGTGCGGGCGCAGCACCGAGGGTTGCGATCCCGTTACCGGTCAGTAAAAAAGACAAAAAGGAAAAAAAAAAAAAGAGAGAGAGACCCTGACGCGTGGCTTACAGCTCATGAGGCAGGGTGTGGCAAGGGGGTCCCGGCTCTTCAGCGGCAGAAGGGCCTGGGAAGTGGGTGGCTTCCCGGCTCCTGGGCCAGGCTGTGTGCCCCTTCCAGGGCTGCCTCTCTGCCTGCAGAGTAGTGAGGATGCCTGGGCAATTCAGCAGGCTCTCAGATGGAGAGGCAGGGAAGTTCACACAGCGACTCTGTTTTTTATGTTGTTAAAGAAGAAAAAGACCTGTTTACAGTATAGCTGAGGTGGGTGCTGGGCCTTCCGCTTCTTGCCATGAAGCTGAAGAGCATGACTGCAGTGGAGCCCGGGGCCAGAGGCAGTGAACGATAGCTCCAAGCTTGGTCCCCAGGCCCAGCAGGAAGGCAAAGGTCGCCCGCCAACTGCTGCCCATGAGGCTGTGTGCCTGGAGTGGCCAGGCTGGGGTGTCACTTTCTGAAGCCTGCCAGCGTGCTGCCAGTAGGCCAGGGCTCTTGGTGGTCAGCCTGGGCCAGAGGAAGCCTGTGAAATTTTACTTTCTTGCATAAATGCCATGCGCTTGCCCTAAAGTACACAGAGCAAAAACAGGGTAGTCATCCAAAAACAGGTTTCGGTTTTAACAGGCAGGAGAGGGTGAATATTAACCCGAGTCTGATGCCCATAGGTCCCTTTTGCAGAGCCCCCTTTGAGAATAAAACCACCCAGCAACCATGGATTGAGTGCACCCACCGTGTGTTGAGCGTGCAGGTCCTGGGACGCAGGGTTAAACAGAGGCTTCTGATGGGTCCACAGGTCACAGAAGACGTGCGTCAGGGCCTTGGGTGGGGCGGACAGCACAGCTAGGGTGGCTGGGAGGCCTGTTCGAGCCAGGAGGGTTCACCCCACTTGGGGGGCTCACTCCCCTTTCCATGGGTTTGGGGGGCGCAGGGTCTGTTGGAGCCCCTGACTTCCAGTTTCTGAGATGCCATCAGCTGGTTAATGACTCCCGACCCCTTGGGCCCCTTCAGAGGCAGAGCATGAGAGCAACACTTTTTAGCTAATCCCTTGATCTGCATAGTCCAGTATTTAACTACCCAATTAACATCTTAAATCCACACAGTGCCAAGCTGGGCGCTGAAGACTGGGCCATTTATTAATACAGAGAAACTGCCCAAGTAAGCGGATAAGGTTTAATAGCAGCTCCAACACTGGCCTGTCCATTTCCTTGCCAGATTTGCATGAATTCTGACATTAATTTTTGTGACAGTTGATCAGAAAGTGCCCTGCCCAAGGCCCCTCATGTTGCTGGAGTCCTGACTTGAGTCCCCTCCCCCACCTGGTTAAAGGTGGCAGCCAGGGGCTTCTTATTTTATTGAGTAAGAAAACCTGAGGCTCAGAGGTTGGACATGGTCCCTGCCACTGAAGAGGTGAAACCTACCTCCTAGGACCTTCTGGAACCTTCTGTGTGTCCACCTGGTTAAAGGTGGCAGCCAGGGGCTTCTTATTTTATTGAGTAAGAAAACCTGAGGCTCAGAGGTTGGAGATGGTCCCTGCCACTGAAGAGGTGAAACCTACCTCCTAGGACCTTCTGGAACCTTCTGTGTGTTGGCTGGGGAGAGTGTGTCAGTCTCTCCAGTGGCTCTTTCTGAGGAAATACAAGCACGTAGAGCCTTAGCAGAGCACAGGCTCGGAGCTTTCTTCCCTTTAAAGTAAACAAACTGTGTAAAATAAAAGATCTTGCTATCTGTCAGATTTCACAAATGATGAGACTCTTGTTTCAAAAGACTTAAATTCTGTCATTTTCTCAGTAATGAAAAATTTTCATAACTTATAATGGTATATAACTTCAGACTTACATAAAAATTACAAAAATAGTGACAAAAATCCGCATATACTCTTCATCCAGCTGGACTCACCATTGGCTAATACTTTGCACATGCCACCCCCTCCCATACTCTGTCCATATTTTCCTTAAAACAGTTGAGAGTGAGCGTGAGACCCAATGCGCCTTTGTGTAGATACTAACCTATGTACTGTTTCTCGAGAACCAATACATTTTCTTTGATGAGGCCAGCACAGCGGTCAAAATTGGGAAATACAGTTATCGATACCACGTTATTATCTAATCCACAGACCCTATTCCAGTTTTGTCAAATGTGCCAATAGTATTTCTAACCTTTCCCCTCTTAATAGCCAGTTTTTGAAATTTAAACGAGTGCTGGTATCTAGACTGGTCTGACCAGTTCCTTCCTCCTGCCGGGCAGCAAGGATCGGGTTGCTTGGAGGAGGGACACCTGCTTATTACCTTGCTGCTGTGGTTGGATGCAGTGTAAGTGAAGGGTGGTGTTTCTCTTAAGTGAATTGGGTTTTATTTGTTTTATTTTGTTTGAGAAAGCTTGAGCTCTCTTTTTTCGAGGGACTGTGGGAACAGGCCGCTCCACCAGCCTCAAAGGCCCTTCATTTGTGCAGTGGAGGTCACCTCATGCTCCTGCTGGGTGCCAGGCCCTGCTCTGGGGAGAGATGGGGGAGGGCCTGAGTCAGCAGCACCCTACACGGCCACGGGGAGTGGGGCCCAAGGGGGTGCACTCCTCCCGGGATCGATGGCCTGGCCTTGGTGTTCCTTGGCCTGATTGCGAAGGGTGCATAGGAGATGCAGGGTTTTGAGTTAATGAAGCCTAAACTAAGCCTCCTGCTGCTGCTTGGTCAGCATGTTTTCCCCTGAAACTTGTCTTTACAGATCTGGTCTCTAAGGGACTGAGCCCAGGAGGGCGGACACACCCAGTGTCTGAGTTCTTGTGCTCCTTGGCCCTCCCCATGTAAGACCTGTGTCGGGGTGGGGAGGTTGTTGGCATTTTGAAGATGGCAGTGGGTACCTTTCTGGTAAAATTGTTTTTCACACACTAAATTTAAATTAACCTTCCTTAGACGAAAAATAAGGAGCAAGCCCCTGACAGTTTGCTGTCACGGACATTTTTGCCAAGGGCTGACTCACTGAGGCCCGGGTTTACCAGCCCGACAGTCATCAGATTGAGTGGAGGGAACAGGCGTGTCAGCCACCTCGCAAGGGTCTTTCCTGGGGCTTTCTTGGGGCGAGCTGGTAGGAACTGTTGCAGGACAGCTGCCTTCTGGCTCATGGCTCCCTTGATTGCTGATGGGCCAGCAGCGTGTTCAGCCTGGCAGGCTCAGCTGAGGGACTTGATCACTGAGCATGTGTCCCCTCTCCTGGGGTAAGCAGGCAGGACACGGGAGCTACCGCCCCCAGTACAACTGCCTGTCTCCTGCCTCCTCGTCTGTCATGCCTGCCTCTGGGTTGGGGGAAGCTTGAATGGCTGGAATGAGACCCTGTGAGTGGGGCGGCCTGGCAACCCATTGTGTGTCCCAGATGTGCCAGTGGGTGCTGTGGGCCACACAGGTGAGCACAGTTCCTGGTGGGAGCCGGCTTGGCCAAGACCCTCGGGTCTGCCTGGCATGGTCTCAGAATCTGCTCTTGGCCCCTTTTCTCCACACTGCATCCAGCTGGTCCTGTGAGAGGTGGGAAAGGTGGGTCCTTGGAGATGACCGCAGGCTCGACATGGGCTTCCTCCTGAATGCTCCTGTGCATCGGCTGCCCTGGTTGGGGTGTGGGCCCAGGCTCTAGTTCTGAGTTATATGGGACCTTATTCATGAACGTGTGGCCTGGAGCCGAGGCTTTGTCCTCTCTCGGCCCTGGGGGCTGTGTGGCATAGGCATCTTGGGGTGTGGGCCCAGGCTCTAGTTCTGAGTTATATGGGACCTTATTCATGAATGTGTGGCCTGGAGCCGAGGCTTTGTCCTCTCTCGGCCCTGGGGGCTGTGTGGCATAGGCATCCTAAGGATCTGCTTCCTTCTAGTTTATTGTGTATGATCACAAATCTAGACTTCTAAACTCTTCTTCCTGAGTATAAAATCTTTGCAAAAGAAGTAGGAAAGCATGCCCCAACCCCCCTGGGAAGCAATGTGGTTTTGTGTGGTTGCTGCTGGATCTGTGTCCCCGGGACTCCCTTCTACCATCGATGTGGTCGGCGTGTGGGTCTGTGACATGTTTGTCTCCCCGTGGTGTTGACAAGGCTGTGGGATCATTTTTCGTGTCTGCAGACAGCGTGGACAAGGCTGATTCACTCATTACTATGAGCTCTGTTGTGCTGTCAAACCTGACATACGTGAGCACGTTTGTGTAAACAACTTCTTTTTTTTTTTTTTTTTTT